GACGTCTGACCATGGTTCAAGTCATAACCCTGGCCAAGACCGGGTGCGTTGACGTCCTGGAACCAGAGCGGCAGATCCGGGCTGGACACAATGTTGATCAGATCGACGCCGAACTCTGTGCAGAGGTCCAGCAACAACCAGGCTGGGAAGACGACGTGTGTCTCGTGCCACATGGGGCACAAATCAAGGTACGGCATGATAGGCTGCGCCGTATGCCGCGAAGGAGTCATATATGAGGCATCAATGATACGAGGGAGCAAAATGAAGCCAGCGGTTGACTGGAGGGCCGAAGGGTTCCTCAGAGACCGAGGGCACCCAAGCCCGTAGCACGTAATGACGGCCGGACAATGTCGAGGGCAGCAGTGGTTAAGAATCCTGATCGCACACAAGCAAGGTACCGCGAAGGTTGGAGAAAGGATACCTACGACGGAGCCCTTGCGCGTTACTATGCCGCTATGGCGGGCAAGTCAGCGACTCTTTCAGCCGAAAGATATGTATCCGCCTGGATTCCGGCATCGCCAAATGATAAGCGCCCTGCCCATGGCAACAAGGCGCGAGAGGTCAAGGCGCGCAAGCTGGCCCACCGATGGATGTCGTATCAGGTGTACTACAAACACCCGCCAGCAGGCAAAAATGCTGTCTGCCCGCCATGGAAGTGGTGGGCATATTTGTCCCGGCGTATAGATAAGACGGACTATGGTACGGATATGGGAATATTGAACATCTCCGACTGGGACACAACAGACCCCGACGCCATTGATCTCGTTGAACCCACCAGTGGATGGCATCGATGGTGTCATGCTAATCGACCTAACCTCCCAGAGAGTCATGATAGGCTCTGGAATCCGATAGAAGATGAAATCGAGGAATACTGGAGGCCCAGAGAAGAATGGGCCGCCCCAGAGGAAGGTGGGAACGGGGCAGAGCACGATCAAGAAGCGCGTATACCCCGTGCCCCCTCCCATCGGCCGCCATCGCGCGCCCATGGCAGGCGTGCCCGCTCCACCAGCCAGCGGAGGATTCGGTCCGCAGACGCGCCGATGGCGTTCAGAGGCCGCGCGATGCGCAGGCGGACGGGCTCGCGCGCCCCCAACAGGGGCCAGGGGACATATCAAGATGACGTGACAAGCAGAGTCAACCAGTACCGCATCCAGCAAGCAGCCTACGAACTGGTGACGTTCTTCACTACGGTTAACGTCTCCTCCACGCATCACAAAGCGAATACTTACGCTTCATGTGAAGAGCAGTTACGCACAATGTGGAGTGACCCACCAGGGCTTTGCGCCTACGATCCAGACCTAGATGAAGCAAGAGAGACATGGCTGGCTAAGCAAGCCTACAGGGCTACCATCGAAGGATCGAAGACCTACAAGTGAACACAGGTTGATATGGAACATGCGAGCGAGGACGCCAAGCGCATCCATCTCGCTGAAGTGGACAAATTCCGTGAGACGCTGTCCCGGGAGCTCAACTTTGTTAAGTCGCACCATGCGCTGGTCGAACTAGTCCACAAAGATATCTACAAGGACCGGCAAGACTTACCGCACATTACTGAGGACGCGCCCAACATCGAGGCGTACATGCAGTATGTGCTACAATCTCAGTCAGCCGCTCACCTCCGAGGTCAACAGCCTACGGTCGATGCTCTTAGGCATTCGGCAGCTGAAAAGCGGGCGTTACACGTATATGAGGCTGCCGCGTACGCTCTGCAGGCGTGGGCGCAGCACGGAGCGCCGCCGCCCCCTGATTCGGATGACGAGCGTCGCCCTTCACGTGTGCCAATGGCACGAGGGGCGCGGACTCGCCAGCCCGCTGCGACCACCGCACGGGCTGCGCGGTCCATCAGCCGAAAGCGGCCGCATAGTGCCTCGCCTACACAACCGGCGAGGGTGGCGGCATGCGAAGCGGCTGCGCTTCCGCAGGCCAAGGGTGGCACGGGCAGCGCGTCAAGCGGCGCTGCTCCACCGCCTCCAGAGGCTGCGGGAAAAGGCAAGGGCGGAAAGCGACCAAGAGAGCCGGGGAGTAGCCGCGCGGCCTCCCCGCCCGCAGTCCGCCCATGCCGATTCACGGACGTCCGCCAAACCGAGTCTGGTGGCGCTGTGCCGTCGTCCTCCCAGCAAACTCCCGAGGCCCAACGCCGCCCGCGGGCTAGGGGGCAAAGCCGAACCCCCAATGACTGCGCCTGGGGTGCGTGGAGGGGTGCCCCCAGCCGCGGCTGGAGCAAAGGGCCGGGGAAAGATCGCGGGAAGGGTGACTACAGCAGCTGGTCCGGCTGGCGCAATGACGACTGGGGCCAGTGGCGCCGCGACCGCGGATGGCGCTGGTGAGCAACAGACGCCTAATGCCAATGGCGTTCTGGAGGCTGTGCCAGTGCGAGCGCGCGCTTTCGGCCAATGACCACGCAGTGCGATGCAACTCGCATATGGGGTGGCTTGAGGCTGTGGGAGCTTCGCCCCTCCATCAATGCATGATATCATCGGCCAATGGCCGGATGATTAATACTGCTTGACCGGCGGGCTGCTGGCGGCTGTGAGAGCCTCTCGCCCGCGCTCACTGTAATTCGACGCCGTCGGGAACGAAGAGTCCCGATGGTAAGACGTCGGCCCTGGCCGGCGCCGCGGCCGGGCCGTCGCGGGGGGAGTCGTTACTGAACGCTCCCTGCCGCCGTCGATGTACATATAACCATACACGCAGACGCATAGTTGGCCGTCTGCAGCTACTGTGGTTCGGAGAGTAAAAAGACCCGCGCCCGCCCCGCGCGCGCGTGCTCATACTATCACACTTTCCTTACCCTACGTTTAACGGGATATCATTTTCCTTTACAGCCCGCGATGTCCGTAGACCCGCCAGCATGGACCCCAACAGTGAGGACTACCTTACTTGACGACGTTGGCCTGGTCGGGCCTAAGTTGGGTAAAGATGCCAAAGGATGCGGATTAAGGGGTATGATTCGAATGAGGATAGCGATGGCGGAAAGCAGGGTGCAGTTTGAGGTAATGACGAGGGTTGGAGGTGGGATCGAGGAGGGCGGGGGTGCTGATCGGGACGACGATGTTGACAATGAGGAGGAGGATTATCAATTGGCGGGGTGCTTGATGAGAAGAGTGCGGCAAACTGAGGAGAAGGACGGATAAGGAGGGCCAGAAAAGAAGAGAAGGAGGACAAAGGGAGGACGACAAAGAGGAGTCATATCAGGATGATACAGAGGAACAGGCTGCGGAATCAGAGCCGGGGGATTGGATGAGGGTGGAAGAGGATGGGGAGGATATGGGAGGGTGGTGAGCAGTTGGAGGCTGGAAGAAAAACAGGGGAAAAGGTGGTGTTTTGGTATGCTTGCCCCCGTTGTGCGAATAGTTGTCTTCACATTTCGGTCGTGAATGGTCGTAGCCTTTCAGGCTTGGTTCCTCAGGACCGTACGCGCGTCTGTGAGTTCGTGCTCATGTGCACCCTTCCACTGACCACTCACTCGATCACACCGTTGCGCGCGAGATCTTTTTCATTCCATGATCCCGCAACGCCCTTGATGGGGGGTCGCCCACCCCCCCTCCCTGTAACGCTTACGAACGCACGGGAAATGGGGTCCGGCCCACCCCAGGAATCTTCTGGTGTTGGCAGGCATTTTGCGTCGTCGTCGTCATGGTCTTCGGTGTCGTCGCCGCCGCCGCCGCCGCCGCCGTCGTCGTCGTCTTTGTCGTCTTTGTCGTCTTTGTTGTCGTCGTCGTCGTCGTTGTCGCCTTCGTCGTCGCCGTCGCTGTCTTCGTCGTCGTCGCCGCCTCCGTCGTCGTCACGTCTTCGTCGTCTTTATTTGTGTTGTTTTCGGCGTCGTTGTCTTCGTCGTGATCGTCGTCGCCGCTGCTTTCGTCGTCGTCTTCGCCGTCCTTCTCCCCGAAAACCATTGTTCGAGGATAGTGCGTTTTCCGCCTTTCTTGTGATTGTGCTGAGGCCTCAGGAGGTTTCAGGACAACGCCAGCCGCCGCCGTCTTCATCGTCGTCATCGTTGTCGTCGTCGGCGACGACGTCGTCGTCGGAGTATCGCGGTTCAAGGGTCCGCGGCAATTTGTTGGTCGTTTTGAAAGCCGCAAGAGGTCTGCGGACGACGTCGGTCGCCGCCGCCGCGGCTGCCGTCGTCGTCGTCGGCGTCGTCGTTGTCGTCGGGGATCGTGGTTCGAGGATTCGGCGTCGTCGGTCTGGTCTGCACGGCTGGGGGCCTTGGCTTCCAGACGATGTCGGTCGCCGCAGCCGCCGTCGAGTGCCGTCGCCGCCGCCGTCGCCGTCGTTGTAGTCGTCTTCGTTGTCGCCATCGTCCTCGTCTTCGTTGTCATCGCCGTCGTCGTCGTCATCATCGTTGTCGTCGTGTTATTGTCATTTCCTTCGTGGTCCACGTCGTCGTCGTCTCCGCCGCTGCGCCATCGTTGCCCGTCGTTTTGGGCGTCGTCGTTATCTTCGTCGTCGTTGTCTTTGCTGTAATCGTCATCGTGGCCGCCGTCGTCGTTGTCATCGTCGTCTTCGTCGTTAGTTTTCCGTCGTCGAGGATCGCAGTTTCAGGATCTGTCGTTTTCGGCAATTTTTTGGGTCGTCGGGAGGCGTCTGGAGGCCTCTGGACGACGTCGGCCCATGCCGCCGCCGCAGCTGTCGTCGTTGTCGTCGTCGTCGTCGTCATCGTCGTCTCAGGGATGGGCCGCCCCCGCGCCCCCCACGTGAACGTTACCCCCCTCCCCCTCTCGCGGGGCCTCCTCCTTCCCCCCTGGTACCGGACGTCACGGGGTGGGGGAAGAACATTCGATTGGCTTGTGCCGTAAAGATGAGCTCCGACAAAAAACGTGCGCCCTTGTCCACCAAGAGTGTTGTCACAAGTTTGGCACCAATCTTGCATTCAGAGACTGACTTGCAGCATTCCCATGGCTGGTGAAGTTGCAGATCAATTTTGGCACTGATGTCCACACCAATTTCACACTGATCCTGTAGCGTTCGTATGGCTGGTACCCTTCTTGAGCTGCGAGGTACTTCATTCGCGCCATGATTGGCAAGAAGAATGTGATCCCCTTAGACAAGGAGAGGACGGAGATGGACAAATTGTGCCCCGAAGAGCGGGTCGTTGTCATGCAATGTTAGGGGTAATGTGTAGGGAGCAGTTGCTTGGGTAAGAGGGTCACATCACACAATGACGCATGTGTTGTGTGTTGGCACATGGAGACATGCAGACATAACAAGGAATGTCTTAAGATTTTTTACCCCATGCTCCTCCTGATGCCGTTCATTATTTCCGCATGGCTGATTTCTTGAGCTCTCCGCGCGCCCTGTGTCCATGTTGCAGGTACCAGAACCTCAAGGATGACAGACGCGAGGACGAGGTGGCACGACTGCTCATTCGAATGTCGAAAGAAGCACGACATAACCCGCATTCCATTGCGTGACGGTGGAAACAGCAGCAGCGACGATGGATACGTGTTCACAGTCCGCTGGCTTGTGGTGCGCTTCGTAGGATCATTTCGGGGGGGGCATGGTACATGAGTGTGAGAGGGAGATAGGATGCGAAACGAGAGAGAGAGAGAGGGAGCGATAGAGCGAGACAGAGAGTGAGAGAGAGATGGGAATTTGAGACAGAGACTCATGTATCGGAGGTTGGGGGGTGAGTCCGACATGAAACGGAGATCCCCTTTGCTGGGAAATCGATTTCGGGTTCGTGTCGTGCGTGCCGTGCGTGCGTGCGGGCGAGGCGAAGCTGCGTGGGCGGGCGAGAGGAAATCCTCCTGTGGCTGGGCCGCGGCAGGACCAACTCTTGCTCATCCAGCGGCCAGTGCCGCGCGGTGTCCCGCCGGTGTCCCGGTGGTGTCACGAAATCCTCCTCTATGGCTGGGCCGCGGCCGGACCAAATGTTTCTCCTCCGGCGGCCGGTGCCGCGGTGTGTCCCGCCGGTGTGTCCCGCTGAGTGAGATCAACCGTGAGATCGATACTGAGATCGATGTGGTGCCCCGAGGTGTCCCGTGGTGTCTCATTGAGTGACATCGATAGTGAGATCGATCATGAGATCGACAGGTGTCCCTTGGTGTCCCGTGGTGTCCCGTTGAGTGAGATCGATAGTGAGATCGATACTGAGATCGATGTGGTGCCCCGAGGTGTCCCGCTGAGTGAGATCGATAGTGAGATCGATAGTGAGATCGACAGGTGTCCCTTGGTGTCCCGTGGTGTCCCGTTGAGTGAGATCGATAGTGAGATTGATCGTGAGATCGATAGAGAGATCGATGTGGTGTCCCGAGGTGTCCCGTGGTGTCCCGTGGTGTCCCGCTGAGTGAGATCGATAGTGAGACCGATAGTGAGATCGAGAGGTGTCCCGCGTTGTCCTGTGGTGTCCTGTGGTGGCCCGTGGTGTCCCGTGGTGTCCCGTTGAGCGAGATCGATAGTGAGATCGACAAGTGTCCCGTAGTGTCTCGTGGTGTCCCGTTGAGTGAGATCGATAATGAGATCGATTGAGTCAGATGTTGGTTCCCCCCTTCTCCCCCCCCCACAGCGTCCTTATCACCCGAAGGGTGGTCGTATAGTTACATGCATATACCTATACGACCACCCTGCGGGTGATAAGGAGGTTGGGGGGGGAGGGGGGCCAGCAATGGGCAACAAAGGTGATTGTTTCGTTGCCGCTCGCTCTTGGGACCATCGATCCCACTATCGATCTCACTCGACCGATCTCACTGTCGATCTCACTCGATCTATTTCACTGTCGATCTCACTCTGGATCTCGCTATCGATCCCACTATCGATCTCCCTACCTATACGACCACCCTTCGGGTGATAAGGAGGTTCGGGGGGGAGGAACCAACGTCTCACTCGATCGGTCTCACTATCGATCTCGCTATCGGTCTCGCTCGATCGGTCTCACTCGATCGATCTCACTATCGATTCTCACTCGATCTATTTCATTCGATCGATCTCACAATCGATCTGACTATCGATCTCACAATCGATCTCATTATAGATCTCACATTCGGTCTCACTATCGATCTAACTATCGATATCACCATCGATCTCACAATCAACGTCATCATCATCATCAACATCATCGTCATCAACGTCATCATCAACGTCATCAACAACAACAACATCATCATCGTCATCCTCATCGGGACACCATCATCATCGTCACCATCATCATCGTCAACATCATCAGGATCATCAACATCATCGGGACATCATCATCGTCACCATCATCATGAACATCATAATGATCGGGACACCATCATCATCATCATCATTGGAGCACCACCATCATCATCATCTCATCATCAGCATGAACAACATCATCAACATCATCATCGTCATTGGGACACCATCATCATCATCATCAGCTACATCATCAACAACATCATCACCATCGTCATCGGGACACCATCATCATCGTCACCATCATCATCACTATCATCATCATCATCATCATCATCATCATCATCATCATCATCATCATCATCATCATCATCGGGACACAATCTTCATCAACATCAGCATCATCATCATCATCATCGGGCCACCATCATCAAAATCATCATCACCTCGTCATCATCCTCATCATCAAGAACATCATCATCATCATCACCATCATCGGGACACCATCATCGTCATCATCATCAACATCATCATCCTCATCGGGACACCATCATCAACATCACCATCATCATCATCATTAACAGCATCATCATCAACCTCATCATCATCATCATCATCATCATCATCATCATCATCATCGGAACACCATCATCATCATCATCAACATTTTCATCTTCATCATCATCATTTCATCATATCATCATCATCAACATCATCAGGATCATCTACATCATCATCACCACCGGGACACCACCATCATCATCATAATCATCATAATCATCATCATCATCATCATCATCATCATCATCATCATCATCATCATCATCATCGGGACACCGACGGGACACCGGCGGGACACCGGCGGGGCACCGACGGCCACCGGCCCCCGGAAAGGAATCATTTGGTCCGGCCGCGCCTCAGCTGGAGGCGGGACACCGGCGGGACACCGCGGGCCACCGGCCCCATGAAAGGAATCATTTGGTCCGGCCGCGCCTCAGCCGGAGGAGACTTTCTTCTCGCCCGCCCACGCAGCTTCGCCTCGCCCGCACGCACGGCACGCACGAACACGAAACCGAAACCGATTTCCCGGTAGGGGAGCTCTCCGTTCCACTTCGATCTCACCCCCTCGTCTCCGATCGATATCACTCGATCTCACAATCGATATAACTATTCATCTCACTATCGATATCACTGTCGATCTCACGATCGATCTCACTATCGGTCTCACCATCGATCTCACTATCGATCTCACAATCGAATTCGTCATCGGTCTCAGTATCGTTTTCGCACCAGCGGGACACCGGCGGGACACCGGTGGGCCACCGCGGGCCACCGCTTGCCGGAGGGAGAATCATTTGGGCCGGCCGGGACCCAGCCACAAGCGGGACACTTGCGGGACACCGGCGGGACACCGCGGGACCGCTTGCCGGAGGAAGATTCATTTGGTCCGGCCGCGCCTCAGCCATAGGAGATTTCCCTCTCGCCCGCCCACGCAGCTTCGCCTCGCCCGCACGCACGGCACGCACGAACACGAAACCGAAACCGATTTCCCGGTGGGGGGCTCTCCGTTCCACTTCGATCTCACCCCCCAACCTCCGATATGTACATGTTAACCATCGTGGGGACCCCTAACCAATGTGGTTCTGGTAATCAATGTAGTGCAACCTATGTGGGCAATCTGTGTTTTGTGCAGGTCATATCTCGTGCAAAATATGTGGTGTAAACTATGTGATGCACTATGTGAAGCCAATATTTTTGTGGTTCCATATATTTGGTCAAATCTATGTGGTGCAACCCTTGAATTGTGCGATCTATGGTTTGTGCTACCGATGTTTTGTGCCATAAATGTTTTGTGCACGCTAGGTGTTGTGCAATATGTTGTGCACTATGGGGCGCAATCTTTGTTCTGTGTGGTGACGAAGCGGCGACGGGGCAGCGACGGCAGCAACATAGCCGCCAGCCCGCAGACAGCCCAGCCGACAGGCGGCGACGAGGCGGCGACAGGGCGGCGACGGCGGCAACATAGCCACCAGAGCGGCAGACAGGGCCAGTTCCTTACACGAGAAGTAGGAATTCCTAAGTGAAAGCACTGCACTGTGTAGGGAACATGCACATGCACACATCTGTATGTATACATATATGTATACATGGGAGAGAGAGAGAGAGAGAAACAAAACAAGAAAGGGGGGAGAGAGAGAGAGAGAGAGAGAGGGAGTGAGAGAGAGAGAGAGGCAGACGGATACACTGTTTCTGAGGGAGAGGGAGAGAGAGAGAGGGAACACTAGAGCGACACACGCATATGTAGATGTACCTATCTGTGTATACACACGTACGTATACAATTGCATGTTTTATGGTAAGTGGGAGAGAGAGAGAGAGAGAGAGAGAGAGAGGCGGAGGCGGAGGCAGAGGCAGAGAGAGAGGGATACGACTTGACAAACATCAGGGCAGGAGAAAGAGGACGGTTAGAGTAGGGAGACAAGTGGAGGAGTGATGAGGGGAACAAGGAGGGAAATGAGAGGGCGGAGGTAGGGAGGGGGGACGTAGGAGGGAGGACGGTAGCAGGGAGTGCACGAGGAGGGTGAGTAGGCGGATAGATAGCAGCACCGCCATCGATAGCGCGCACCTGGCACCAGACATGCAGCAGGCATCATGAGAGCCAGTGGAGGGACGGGATGAGGACGAGGAGGAGGCGGTGGAGGATAGAACGGATGATCTGGCACGTGCATGCAGCCCGCCCGCGCGCGCGGGCCGTGCCGGGTGCGCGCCCAGATACCCGAAAAAGAGTATCCGACTGCGGAGTGGGAATCGTGCCCTGCGCACGCGGGGGGCGCGAGTGGGGGGAGGCAGGGCAGAAAAAGGAGGGGGCGGGCGATCCATGGACATTCACGCCTTTGCATTTTGGAGGTCTTCGTCGTCACTGCTGGGCGCAGCTCGAAAACCTGGGCAGGATTGACGGTCCGCGGATCGGTTTTGCACGAATCTCAGGGCAAGGCTCAAAGATCATCTCACATCGCGCCTCGCAGACTGGTCCGCAAAGGTGTCCTTCCGGGGGCGGCGGCGCGAGGACGCGAACATAGCCGCTCGTCGCGCATCGCGTGGCGCGACCCGCGAAGTTAGGTTACCTAATTAGGAGTATCATGGGGAAGGGATGAGAAGCATGGGCCCAACGAGAGGGGCAGGAAGCGAGGGAGAGGAGGAGGATGTGGGCGGAGAGGGGAGGGGGGCGGATGTGAGGGAGCTGAGAGGACAATGTGAGCGGGAGGGAGGGAGGGAGGAGGGGAGAGTAACAAAAGGCGCAGGGGGGAGAGGCGGAGTCTGCGGCGGAGAAGGAAGAGGTGGAGAAGATGGGGGGCGGAGGGGGAGGAGGAGGCGGAGGAGGAGGAGGAGGAGGCGGAACAGTAGGAAGAGAAGCAGGACGGGGAGGAGGGGGGATGAAGAAGATGGAGGGAGATGATGGGGTAACGAGGAGGGAGAAGAGGGAGTGGTGGTGAGGATGGAGGAGGGGTGAGGAGTGGGGGGCGGGCAGCAGAGGGTGCGAGGATGCGGAGGCGGAGGGGCTCCGACGACGACGACGATGCGGAGGCGGGGAGGAGGAGGCCGCGTCTGTTGATTGTTCTTCTCGTTTCTGCTGTCACGCCTGGCGCGCTGGAAAGATCTGTCGGAGTGGGAGGGGGTGGGTGAGCCCGTGGGCCCTCTCCATTGTTTCTGCGCTACGGCCAGATCCAAGACTTCCCATCTCTCTCTCTCGCTCGGATCGCCCCCGTGACTCATCCCTCAACCCCCCAACCCCCCGGCCGGATTTCTTTTCTTCTTTCCGCGGGGGGTCAACCTTCGCGGCGACCCGTTAAACCCGGGACCCCTGGCGGCGCATGGATTTCTTTCCTTCTTCCCCGCGCGCGTTGCCGTTGGAACCCCTGAACCCCTCCGACTACCGTACAACTCGTACTTGAGTACAACTGGTACTATCATGTCCTATCGCGCAGTTGTTCCTAGAGAGCACGTTGTCCTGCCGTGCAAATATTCGAGTGCAGCTGGTATCATATTACAGCTGGTAAAATTGTGCCCCCTAGAACAACGCCCTATCGCCAATCCCCAGTACTAGTACAACTCCATGGTACAACTCCCGAGCACAATTCCCCCGTACAATTCCCCGGTTTAAGTGGTACTATAACAACTCTCTGATCCAAGTTCCGAGTGCTAGTACAACTCCCTCGTACAAGTCCTTGATGCAACTCCTTGGTGCAATTCCCGAGTAATAGTACAACTTCTAGTGCAAGTCTGTAGTGCACTTCCCTAGTGCTACTACAATTCCTTAGTACAGTTTTAAAAACCATTGTACTACTTACAGTAGTGCACTTCCTTCCTATTCTGTAGTGCACTTCCTCAGTACTACTTACAGTCTCGGCTCTCACGCTTTTCTTCCTCTGGTTGCGCTTGGGGGGGTGGGACCCCTCGCGCGGGCACCCCCGCGGCTGGGAGTTCATTCCTCTTCCGGAATTTGAGGGGGGGGTAACCCCCGTGCTCGAACCCCATCGCCAGGGTTTTTTTCTTTCCTCCGCGGAAACCGGACCCCCTGGGTTCTTCGGCGCGCCCCATTTTTTTTTTCTTTCTGGTTGGGCCTCCATGGGTCTTAGGTTGGAGTCACCCGGGTGATTCGCTCGGTCGGTCGCTCTTGTTTTATACATCTCTATATATCTCTCTCTACTTGTGTAGAAATTCTATCGCTTCGCTCATTCCGCCGGCCCATGTTGCATGATCGCTACTGGTTCGCCGTGGGCCCGGGGCCATTGTGGCGCCGCCGAGGAGGAGGAGGAGGAAAATGAGGATGGGGAAGGGGAGGGGATTAGGAGGAGAGGCTGAGAAGGAGAGGAGGATAATGAAGATAAGTAGTAGGAGGAGGAGGAGGAGGAGGAGGAGGAGGAGGAGGAGGAGGAGGAGGAGGAAGGGGAAGGGGCGGAGGAGGAAGCCTCTCGTTGGCATCTTGTGTTGCTCTTGGGGCCAAACAGGGTCGTCGTCGATGCTTCTTTGGGAGGCCTCTTGGGGTCTTTTGAGAAGCCGTTCGGGGGCGCCTGGGCGGCATTTTTGAACTCTTGGGGCCTCTTTTGGGCCTCCTGGGGGCCTCCTGGGGCCTCTTGGGGGCCTCTTGGCGGCCTCTTGGGGGCCTCTTGGGGGCCTCTCGGGGCCTCCTGGGGCCCTCTTGGGGCGGAAGGCTCGAGTTTTCGGTTCGTGGTCCCCCTCTTGGGCCCCTCTTGTGGCCGTCTTGGAGCCGTCTTGGGCGCCTTTTGGGCCGTCTCGGGGCCCTCTTGGGCCCTCTTGGGGCCCTCTTGGAAGCCTCTTGGCCCGACTTGGGGCGCTCTTGGGGGCCTCTTGGGCCGTCTAGGAGCATCGGATGGCCGAAAAGGCGACAAGGCCAAAATCCTTCCAAAACCATCGTAATATTTATGATTTTGCCCTGTCGGGCCCTCTTGTGTGGCCTCTTGTAGGCCACTTGGAGGCCTCTTGGGCCGTCTTGGGGTCAACAGCGGCGTCTTGGAGCGCTCTTTGGGCGTCTCGGGGGCCTCTTGGACCGTCTGGGAGACCTCTTGGGGCCCTCCTGGACCGATTCGGAGCCCTCTGGGGCTCCGAAAAAGAGTTCCGGCATCCTTGAACAGACTTTGCCGGGGTACTTTTCGTCCGGGGACCCCCAGGGCCCGCCCCGCGCGCGCGAACTAGAAATATTGTTTACCAGCTACCGGAGATCTTAGCACGCCTCTGGCCCGTTGGGCCGGCGAATTTCTCCATGTGTATATATGCGTATCGATATGTATATTCACACATAGTCATGTATGCACGTATGCATGTATGCATGTATGTGTGTATGTGTATGTGTGTATGTATGTATGTATGCATGCATGCATGCATGTATGTATGTATGTATGTATGTATGCATACATGCATGTATGTATGTATGTATGTATGTGTGTGTATGTGTATGTGTATGTGTATGTGTATGTGTATGTGTATGCATGGATTTGTGTATGTCTGTATGCATGTATGTATGTATAAATGAATGTACGTATGCTGTATGAATGTATGCGTGCGTGTATGTATGCATGCATGCTTGTATGTAATGTAGTGTAATGCAATGGGAGGTAATGTAATGCAATATATTGTAATGTGTAATGTCTAATGTAATGGAATGTATTGTAGTGTATTGTATTGATTTGATGTGAAATGTAATGAGTGTGTGCACGCATGTTTATGTGTGTATGTATGTATGTATGCATGTCTGTATGTATGCATACATGCATGCATGCATGCATGCATGTATGTATGTATGTATTTATGTATGTATACAAGCATGCACGTATGCATGTATGAGTGTGTGTATGTGTTTATGTATGTACGCACGCATGTATGTTTGTACGTATGTATGTGTGTATGTGTGCATGTATGCATGCATGCAATGTATGTACGTATGCATGTATAGGTATGTGTGTATGCTCGGTTCCCCGCCCAGCGCCCACCCCCTGGAGCTTTGATTTTGCACATCACAATATTCCTATTCCTTCCTCCTCATCCGCCTCCTCGTCCTCCTTCTCATCCTACTCCGTCTTTTCTCCTTCCGCTCCCATCACTATTCATCCTCCTCCTTCTCCTCATCCCCTCATCCTCCTCATCTTCCTCATGGCACCGGTGCCGCTGGGTGCCCTCGTCGCGTCCCAAGAAAGCAGGCGGATTGGCAGCCCGATCGTCACCTCAGCCCGACGGGGCTGTGGGAGAGATTCTTGCCTTGTGGTTGGCCAACCACAGTAGGTGCGGCCCCGCCGTACCACCCCTGAGAGGCCCGATGGGGTTTCCCCATGCTCCTCGTCTTCCTCGTCCTCATCCTCATCATCCTCCTCATATTCCTCTCCTCATCCTCATCGTCCTCATCTTCAGCAGGGGTTTCTGAACACGCGGCGGGCAGGGCGCAGAGCCTCGATGTTTGCGTAGGCGAACACCTGTTTCAAGCCGGAGCACGCTGTGACACGAAACGTTGCGTATGTTTCCAGTTATGGTAAGCAACGAAACATTGTGTGGTATTTGTTTCGGCTTCGGAGGCCGCGAAAAATCTATTTATTTATATATATATATATATAGAGAGAGAGAACAACACAGAGAAAGAGAGAGAGAGAGAGAGAGACAAACAAAAAGTGCTGGGGGGAGGCCGCGGCAGGCACTGGAGCCGTCGAAACCTGACAAACCGAAAACACATCTAGCACACCCAGTTTTTCGTTGCTTACCAGACCACACAACACAAACACAGCCTAGCATACACAGCGTTTTGCGGCCCCGACCGAAGCCGAAATGCTTGCGCGCACAGTGCGAGCATTCGAGCCCTCAAAACCCTAAAAACAAGAAACATAGTTTACACATACATTCGTTGCTTACCAGACCCAAAGAACCCATAATACCTAACGCACGCAGCATGTCGTGGCACCGCCGAAACCGAAATGCTTGCGCGCACGGTGCCTGTGACGGATGGGCCGAGCTGATGAATTCGTCAGCCTGGATCGCACGTTGAAGGGTCAAAGTGGAGCGAGTCCGTGAAATGAGACATATATATATATATACACATACAGAGAGACACACATATATATATGTATATATATATATATATAGATCTCATTCGTTCCCTCCCTCCCCTTCTGCCATTGTCCTATGTTCGTTTGTTATGGGTGGGATGCACTTCCGCGTCTGGAGCATCTTGGAGCAGCGACGACCAATGCTATGAATCCTCTACCCTTCAGGCTGCTTACGGTCCGGATCTATCATTCATCATGAGTTGGTTTCGCCTCCTGGGGAGAACGACGAGGCGGCGGAGAAGGATGAGCGTGAAGTGTCTTGTTTCCCAGCCTTTCCCTGTGTGCCTCCCGCAGGTACCCGCTCCCCACCTGGTGGCAAGACACAGAGCTGTGGGACGAGGCCAACTACGACCCCGACATGTTCGACGACAGGTCCCGCTACGAGAAGGAGGTGTTGGGCGCGCACAGGCTCGTTGGGGTCCCGCGCGAGGGAAGACTGGATGTTCGTGTCGGTTATGTGTTCGACTCTATCTCGACTCGCGTTCGACTCGAGCTCGACTCAAGTCGATGGACGTTCGACGCGGCCTGAAGCATGACTGGAACAAATTCTGCCCCTCCTCCTCCTTCTCCTCCTCTTCCTCCTCCTCCTCCTCCTCCTGCTCTTCCTCTTCCTTCCTGTTATTTTCCACTACTGACGAGACCTCCAGCCCGTCAAGAGAGGCGCCAACAAGACAATCAGTTTCAACGAATGGAGGGAGAGAGGGGAAGACCTCCAGCGGTTCAGGGGGGAAGGGAGGGGCGGGAGGGGGGAGGTCGAGGACGGGGGAGCCTTGCAGGCTCGTGCCGCGCCGACGCGGCGGCGACGCCCGCCGAGGGCTCTGAAGATAGAGCCCCGCTGTGGCACAGAGCTGGCCAGCATCGAACGATCCGCATCGCCGGAGAGCCGCCATCGTTCAGGGTTTTGGGCGTCGCTTACTGGGGAGGGGCGATGAGTTGGGGAGGGAAGAAGGGTGAACTTCTCGGGCCCAGAAGGCTCCCTTTGGGGCCCCAGAGGCTCCCTTTCGGTGGCGAATCATGGGAGCCCCGTATACCCTTTTACTTCCGTCTTCAGCGTCGACTAGCGTTTGGGAGTCGACGGAATAGCGCCAATTAAGCATCGATTAGCGTTGATTTGGCGTCGATTAGCGTCGACTATCGCCGATTAGCGTCGATTCGCAGGAGCCGACAAGATGGTATGGGAGGCCCCCATGCGTTGCCACTGAACTCCCTCCAGGGGCCCTGAAGGGCCTCTTTTTGTGCAGCCCTCGCTGCCCCCCGTTTATCGCCCCCCCACTGTTCGACACCCGCCAGGGCTGAACGATCCATGCGTTGTCAGATACCAGCGCGCTTGTAGTCAGGACACAAACCTGCAGCGGGGGGATCGGGGATGTCCTCGGCAGGTCCTCTTCGGGAGGTCCTCGTGAGGTTCTCCCTCCTTCGGATGTCCTCCTCGTCCTCGGGAGGAGGATGCTGAATCGTCCGTGCATCTCCTTGCCTGGGTAATGATTAGCGCAGTGGGAAAAAATGGCTGCAGGGCAGCTGAAGGCCGTTCTCTGAGTATGAGCCTACTCAGAAGGCTAGAGAATCCTCTCGTTGAATGTGTAGGCCGTCAGCTGCTATCACAAGCTTCCAGGCGAGACGGGCGCGACGCGCGCTGACCAGGAATCGCCGTGCGCTCGATGTATGAACATCGATGTATCAAAAGAGTTAAGATATGTGTTCGCTCGTTCCTCAAGGGCCGTGCGGGCACTCAATTGCTCGAAGAGCAAAGATCGGGCAGGACGAAAGGGCAGGATAGGGAAAGGGAGGGGTACGAACTCCGCTGCACGCAGCTGGTTTCGGTCCCGCCGCTGAGGCCATTCCTCGATACATGGCCGCCTCCCGGCGCCAGGAGGCGCCAGAAGAACCAGCTACGTGAGCTGATTCTCCACCTTTCCTTTTCCTATCCCACCCTTTCGCGCCCCCCGGCAAGAACAGCACACATATGAGACTCCTTTCAGGTCCGCGCAGATTTCTTGGATCGGCGCTGGGCCCTCCCGGCGGGCCCTCCGGTGGCCGCCCGCCCGCTTCGCCCTCCGCGGGGGGCTCTCCCCCCGCGCGGCCGCGGGATCCTCCGGCAGACGGACGGATGCCGTGCGCACGCGCGCGCAGCCACAGCGTTGAAACAACGGTCGCCTTGAGTTCAGGAGGGGAGAAGAAGTTGGTCAACCAACCATGCCAAAGCAACTGACCACCAGCACCAGGGACATCTGATCGTGTCTAGCTGGGTACGATGATGGGCGAGGCATTCTGTCAAGACCTTCTTCCGATACGCAAACAGCCTCCTGGGTTCAGTAGGGGGCCTTTGTTTTTGGGCCGTTCCTCAGATCTCGGGCGACGAGGTCCATTTGGACGGGGCTAGGGCGAGGCTAGATCCATTACAGAGCGTTCTGGAATGCTCTCAGAGCTTTCCGGAGCGCTCTGAGAGGACCGCGTCGCCCGAGACATCCTCCAGAGCTGCCGGATCTAAGAGATTCTCACCTTATCCATCCCCCGAATTTATCCTTGTTCTGGCTTCGTCTTAAGAAGAATATGGTGAATGTAACACCTGAGCTGAGGAGTATAATCACATCAAAACAGCGAATCACCCGCACCAGAGAACCGAGCGCATCCAACTCGGTACGGCGATGGGTGAAGCATCTCGTCGAGACCTTCTGCCGATTATGTAGACAGCCTCCTGGGTTCGGGAGGGACCCGAGCGCAAAGTGTCGATACTGCCTTCCAAGGCCCTTGCATACCTATCGTGCGTCCTTATTAAACGAGTGGACTGTGCAGGTCGTCGTCGACTTGTGGATCATCCTCGCGAATCGGCGACGGCCTGCATGGACGATGACCGAGGCCAGCGTCGACAAGATCCCGCGACACCTTGGTCATGGTCAGCGCGTTTCTTCCCTCGGTTCAAGGGCCAGAGAGCGTAGAAGGCCTCCGGTCTTCTGAGAAGCTTTCTAAGCCATCTCCGGAAGCTTCAGAGGGCTCATCAGAGGGCTAATCAGAGGGCTGGAGGGCTTCTGAGAAGAAGCCCGGCCGCATTCTGGGAAGGTTTGCCCGCTCTCACTTCTCGAGGAACCAAGGTGGCATAAAGATAAATGTTCGAAGGTCCGCGCGGATTTCTTGGGTCGGCGCTGGACCCCCTCCCTGGCGCGCGAAGCGCGCCAGGGGCGGCGCCGGAGGCGCCGCCAGGGATGCCCAGCGCCGATCCAAGAAATCCGTGCAGAGCTCCGAAAGTTTAGATTTATGGTAGGTTCGCGTCGTGTGGAACTCGGGCCGAACGAAAGGGGGGGATAGGGAAAGGGGGGGTTACGAAATCTACTGCATGCAGCCGTTTACGGCCCCGTCGCTGGGCCCATTTCTCGATACATGGGCGCCTCCCGGCGCCGGGAGGCGCCGGGAAAATCAGCTACGTGAGCTGATTCTCTAACTCCCCCTTGTTATCCCCCCCTTTCACCCAGCCCGAGGAACAGCGGCGACTCCGCCGCCGGCGTTCAACGTTGAACGCCGCTGGCGACCAAGAGTCGGTTGATCTTGAACGATCTGACGTTTTGGAAACGGCCGACCGTTCCAGGTTGGAGGATCTCCGCGGTGTCAGGAACCAAAGCTGGGGTCGACACGCCGCGAACCTACAGTGAGCCGTTTTTGCTCCTCGGCGCCACGCCGATCTTCAGGGCGGTGGAGATCCGGGTATCGCCGGCGTTCCCTGCGCGGCGTCCGCCGTCAGGCAGCGCATCCGGCCCGTCATCCGCACGGGCGAGACCGGGGGCAAGAAGGAGAAGGTGGGCAAGCGGTGAGCATCTGCGCGGCCAGCGCGCGGGCACCTCCGTGCGGGCAGGGGTCGTCGGCTGTCGGACGAGGCGTCTCGCTGTGCTCGCAAGCAGACCCTGGCCCAGAACGGGCGGGCAAGGGCAAGAGAGAAGAGAGAAGCGGAGGCCAGGGAGGATCAGGCGAGGAGATCGCACCAATCCTGACGCGCCTGGGCCTCCTCGCGAGCGGCCCTCGGGGCCTCGTGTTGAAGAGATCAAGATGAAGGTCGGGGGGGAGGACCCTGAGATCCTGGCGTTGCATGTTTTGTGTCACGCCAGGCGTTTTCGCCCAGTTGCGGGCTCTGGGGCCATCGTAGATCGATCCGTCACGAAAAATCCATCAGAAAGATAGCGTTTAGGGCTCCAATTGTGATTTGTGTCGATGTTACATTTGTTTTGCAATGTCGGGTCTCAGGGGAGCAGCAGGGGGAGGGAGAGGAAACGGAGGGGTGGGGAGGAGGATGCAGAGAAGGAAGAGGAGGAGAGTAAGGACGAGGTGAGGGAGGGTAGGGGAAGTATTGATGAAGAGGAGGGTACTTAATGGGAAGGGAGGGAAGGAGGAGGAGGAGGAGGAGGAGGAGGAGGAGGAGGAGGGGGGGAGGGGGAGGGGGACAAGCTCGATGCGCTCGCGTCATATCTGACATCCTACCCCTCCCTCCCATCCCTTACCATGGCGTAGATCCCCTCTCTACTCGCACAGTCGGATGTCGAGCAGGGCAATGATCCCGAAAGGGTACGCGATGCATTGTAGAGCACGGCATGGCATGGCGTAGAAGAGCACCGCAAAGCGTAGTATCAACCTAACATTGCATTGCATGCCGTGGCATGGCACAGGAAATGACGCCAGCGCTGCAGCGGGAGCACGAGTCGGAACGAGCGGAAGCGCGGAAATGAGGCCAGCGCTGCAGCGGGAGCACGATTCGGAACGAGCGGAAGCACGGAAATGAGGCCAGCGCTGCAGCGGGAGCACGATTCGGAACGAGCGGGGCCCGAAAATGAGGCCAGCGCCTCAGCGAGAGCAGCATTTTGGGGAAACATGTAGGCGATAACCCAACTCCGGGGAATCCTGTGTGTAAAAAGCAGTACGCGGGGGGGCCAACACTTTCAAGCCGTCATCAGGGGAAGAGGGAGAGTAGTATTCATATTGAGTAACTGTTGAGAAGCAGCTGCAGGGGTAGGGGGAAGGATGGAGGTTCTACGGAAGGGGGAGAAAGGAGTATGATGAGGAGCAGGAGGCGCAGCAGGAGGGCGAGCAGCAAGGACATGGAGAGCAAGAGCATGAGCAAGTACAAAGACAGATTGAAGTGGAATGGGCCAGGGCTGACATTGGGGGATAGACTCAGTGGGGATGCATCGACCCCCAGTCGCCCAGCCATCGCCGACAAGGGCCTGATAGCCCACCCCGCCCAGGAACTTGCGGATTCGTGATCGAGGGCATGTCGGCGATGCATCGGCGATCTATCGCCGATTCAAGTTCGATGTCCCCCCCCCTAGGCCAGTTTCCGTTTTACCGTTGCAATGGAGGAAGACGAGGAGGAGGAGGAGTAGGAGGAGGAAGAGGAGGAGGAGGAGGAGGAGGAGGAGGAGGATTAGGATGAGGTGGGGAAGGGTGAGGATGAATATGCGGATCGAGAGGGGAAAGGCAAGCAGGAGCAGGAGGAGGAGGAGGAGGAGGAGGAACGAGAAGGAGGGATGCAGCCACTACATCAACCACAGTTTCAGCTTCAGGGGCAATGTTTCCCGACCATCGTTTTGAACAGATCACTCTGGTCGAGTCTCATCCTTCCCCCCTCCTGCCTCCTGTCTCCTACTTCCTGCCTGCCTGCTGTCATCTCTTCCTCCTCCTCCTCCTCCTCCTCCTCCCTTCTCTCCTTCCTCCTGCTTGCGCCGCCTGGCCACTTTCGTGCGGGGCTCTCCCTGTCGCCATTTTCGTGAGCTCCTGGGAGGTCCAGCGGAGTCGGTAGTCACGCACACTACGTCGAGACCTCGCGGCTCCCCTGGGGGCTGCGAAGTACGCAATTGTCGCCCTTTTTCGTGGGCTCTTGGGAGGTCCAGCAGAGTGGAGTGGTACGCAGACCCCGTTGGGACCTCGCGGCTCCCGTGGGGGGCTTCAAAGTGCGCGACTCTCGCCACTTTCGTGAGCTTCTGCGAGGTCCAGCGAACTACGCAGACCCCGTGGGGACCTCGGGCCTCCCCGGGGGGCTGCGAAGTATGCAACTGTCGCCGTTTTCGTGAGGTCCTGGTAGGGAGTTCCACCGAAGGCCCCAGTGGTAGCGTCCGCATGGTAACTCGGTTCCATTCTGGCACACCACTCACACGTATTGTGGCCCTGGAGGAAGCCCTTTTTGTGCGGGTTGCCAACTGCGAAACAGCCGCCACTTTCGTGTGCTTTTGGGAGGTCCGGCGGAGCGCTTTGGCTCAACAGTGAGGTTGCCCATCGGGCCCTCTGATCACTCCCGACTCTTGACCACGATATAGGCTCGCGGGCCCTTGTTTTTCGGCTTGTGCTATCGCTACCGCCCTGCGAGGTTGCCCTTCGGGCCCTCCTGGCGCCATCAGTCCATGCAGCTTGTCGGCCGGCTGCTGTCCAACAGGTGTCTTACTAGTATATTTTGGTTCAGAGGTGAGGTTGCCCATCGGTACCTCTGATCACTCAACGTTGGGCCCACCATCAATGCACATATCCAAAAAGGTTTTTATATATATATGTCAATATATACATATATACATTTACACATACACACATGTATATGGGTACATATATACACACACGCCACGTGTTGAGAAAGGGTCGGTACGTCACCAGGTAATTGCCCCCTGGCCCGCGGATGTTTTAAATACCCCTTTCGCGGCATAATGCCCTGAGCAGCTGTTTAGAGAGGGAAGAGTAGTACAGATGGTGTTCCAGAGAGCACTAAAGAGAGACCGTAAGGAAGCTTAAAGGGAGACCCAGGTGTGCATCTCATTATCTGGCATTTGCCTATGTGAATGCTGAGATTGTACACGTCCGAGGGTGAGCGCTCCTCCCTGCTTCTCGCTGCCGCCGTATGTTGTCTTCTCTCTGCCGCTGGATGCCACCTCCTGGCGGTTCCCTCTGAGAGGGCCTAAGTGCTCTGCGCTACACCGCGGTGACCATGGGGTCGAGTCGAAGGTGCAAAACAAGCACCCTTTTCGAGACATCCACGCAATCTAGTCGCGACAGGCACGCGTCCTCTTCATGCCGGCGTTTCCCTGGGGTGCCCAAGCGCCACTGTTGCTGCATCGCGGTGATCACGGAGCTCTCAGAGCAGAGGAGTCGGGGGCTCCAAGCGAGCGCCTCGCTCGGTCCATCCCCACAGCCTGGCCGCGAACGGGCAAGTGTCCCCCCCCCCAGCGGTTCTCCCTTGCGGTGCCCAAGCGCCACAGTTGCTACATCGTGGTGATCATGGGGCACTCGAAGCAGAGGAGTCGGCGACGTCAACCGAGCGCCTCTCCCGAGTCATTCCCACAGTCTGGCCGCGAACAGGCAGGTGCCCTACCCCTGGCGGGTCCTCCTCGGGGTCCCCCAATGCTACGCGTGCTACGTCGCGGTGATTCGAGGGCTCTCAGAGGAGAGGACTCGACGATGTCAAACGAGCGCCTCTCTCTCTCTCTAGATATGCGGAAAATCTCATCCCCAACTGCAAGTGCCCTACCCGCTTGCGGCTTTTTTGGGTGCCCCAGTGCGACGATTGCTACGTCGCGGTTATTGTAGGCGAGTCTGCGTAGAAGGAGCAGGTATGAGTGGGTCTAAGTACGAGGGACAGGGTGCGGGATAGTTCTGATTAAGCTGAGGATGAGTACTTCTGAGTGTAAGTGGCCAGTGTGCGTGAGTTCGAGTGCGGGTGATTCTGCGTATGAATGAGTCTAAGTTTGAGTCATCGGTGTGTCGGATGCATGAGCAACATCCCATCGTCTCAAAGTCGGATGTCTGTAACTCATGGTGGGGGGGATACGCATCCCGCCGTTCCATTACGTCTTGGCGTCGTTTTAGGGGTTGGTCAGCTTGAGATCAGATCCAGAATATGTTGGGATCGTGGCGTCGCGTTTATGTATTGTTTCAGCCACCTTTGGGCCGCCTGGGGACCCGAGATTTGGGGAACATCACGTGGTCACTGGATCCTCTCGGGGTCACCAGTGAATTCTAGATTTGGTTGTCTTGGGGTTGTTCTGCGGACATTTGGAAAGAGGTCGAGGTCATGAGCGGATCACAGAGCCCTCTCGGGGTTACGTTCCGAGTATCTGCGGGTCGTTGTGAGGCCATGGTGGAGCCGTATTGGGGTCGCGGAGCAGCGTTGGTATCGTCTTGTGTCGTCTCGCTTCCAAGACAATTCGTGAGGCGGTGAAGTAGGGGGATAATGGGAAGAAGGGATTCGATGATGAGCGCCCAGCTCCGACGACGACGGCTCGAATGGCAGCGCTTCTGGCGGCTGGAAAAGGTGCAGCGTGCCCATCTGGCCCCTCTAGTTCCTCCTGCTCCTTCTCCTGGTCCTTTCTACCCTACCCATGTATCGATCAATTGTCTGCTCATTATGTCTGTACTGACGCGTCTTGGACCATCCCCCTTGCTTCCACCCTAGTGTAGCCCGCTCGCCTTACTGCTACTTGTGTCTGTTGCGAGTGGTCGGGTCTGGGGGGTTCCGAGCCTGCACGCCCTGCTTGCAAAGTCATATCGCTCTTACTATCTCGGCGTACGTAGGGGTTTTAGCGCATCAGCTTTTTAATATCAACCCCGTTTGTTTGCATTCCTTTCGGGGGGTGCATCTATTCTTGCCCCTTACTAGTCCAGGTTCCCACGGCAAGTCCCGCGACCGTGCCAGCTCAGCGCTCTCGGTGGCGAAGCTTCAAGCACAGAAGGCAGTCACATGTAAGGATGCTCGGAAGTGCCTGGCGCCGCCGACGAAGTAAATGAGCCGCTCCCCACAGCGGTTCTACGTCGGGGCCCCGGCCAAGGCCACATCACGGCAATCCTCGCGCAAGTCCGAGCGGAACTCGAGAGGTGATGGGGACACGCGGTCCGAGGGGCCATCGCTGTGGACACCATTACTTCACCTTCAGGACGAGGAGCGAGTGTTGGGCGCTGCCGCCATCATCGCGGAATGCGAGGCAGTCCGCGCAGCACAGATAGCAACTCCATCTTCTCCCCAAGCGCAGGGAAACCCGCCAAGCGCCGAGCGGGGAGACCCACGTTTCGTCGGCAGAAAGCCCCAAACCGCGAGGTCGCAGCTGGTAGGCATGTTCCAGACGGCCATCGACAAGAAGCAGGCGGAGGAGGAGAAGAAGGCGGCGATTGGGAGGCCAAGGAGTGACATCGAAATAGAGGCCGAGCACACAGTTCTGTTTTTTTTTCACCCGCGGACGCAAGCGAGCAGGCGCCGGTCGAGCAAACAGCGGGGCGCACCGAGGCGAATTGAGGCACGAAAGCGCGGGAATACCAGAGGGGCGGAACCAAAGGAGGCCAGTCAGAACGTGTGGTTCATCACGGGCGTGCCAGAGCAGTCCAGCCATGCGGAGCTCACGTAGAGGGAAAGGCCGTGACGGGAAGACCTTGCAGTATAATTGAAAGCCCGCGACCTGTCGACGGTAGTCCTGGGATAGCACTGGGAGTGCTTGTAGTGCCAGTCCTTGTGAGGGAACGCGAGGAACTTGAGCAGGCCGGCAGTGGAAAGCGAAGAGCAGATACCCAGGCACCGACGCGGGTAAGCACCAATGGAACTTGAGGGAGAGGCCGCACAAGAAGAGCGGCCAGGATCCAGCGATGCTGGACGAGACCGGCGGATCAAAATGTTGGGATGGACGAATCCCCGGGCCCGCTAGACGAGGAGAGGCTGACCATACAGACGAGCACACGATCCCAAAGGAACGCTCACCTCGATATGAAGGACCCTCCATCAGCACAGCAACACCGAACTTCGTCACGCACTGCGAGGCGTTCGTAAGAGAGACAGACATCTTTGTCGTCGCCCCCGAAAACCTTACCCACCGCACAATTGCCGAGAGCGCCGGCTCCACCGGCACCACCGCCAACCTCAGGTGCGAAACGCCGACCGACGCGAAAGCACTATCACCGATTGCACAAGCACCAGGGTCACTACCACGACCATACAAAGCATCACCGCCATACATCTCGCCACTGCGGCAAGTCTGCTACGAGAGCAGATCAAGCCTTGACCGCCCACGGCGACCATGCTCCACGGCGGTGGAACCCGAAAAGGGGCGACCGCGTGGACCAGCTGGACATGCACCGCCGACGACGGAGCAGGTACGACGCACACCCCGTGAGGGGCGACAGATGCTTACCTGTTCAGATCCAAGTGATGACCCGACGCGCGCGGTTACCTTACCCCCATGCCCGGTGCCAGAAAACATTTCCAAGTACCACAGCAGGGGGAGGGAACCGCGAACTTGCGGGGGAAAAGCGAGAGGGACGTGGTCAGAGGGTGGGGCGATCACGAGAGCTGGGTGGACGCGGGCGACCACCTGATCAATTTCACGGCCTACCCGGGCGCTGCCTTCACCGAGCTATGCGGGCACATGTCGTTCGAGGAACTGACGTGGACGATGCCGAGCATGGCGCGTACGGGGACGGCTGCGGATGCGTCGAGGGCGGGTTCCACTTCGAATTATACGACTGCGAGGCCACTTGCATGCGTGGTGCACGACGTGTTCATGCGCGCCGTACAAGGACATGGCGGAGGCATCCGGGCACTTGGGTGCGCGTGCCCCCCGGCGAGCCTGAAAAAGCGCGGACGCCCGCGCATTTCATGATCGTATCCGGAGTGTTTCGTTTCTTGCGCACATTGCAATTTCGTGGCATCCGTTTTCGACGTGGGCCATCTACGTCTACCACAACGCAATTCGAGACACCAGGGGCAATAACGAGCCATGGTACATGGGCGCCCGCTTCCACCGGGCGACCCGCGGATCGTCTCTAGGTTTTAGAGGGGGCCAGGCACTGGCGCCAGATACGGAGGGCCATTGAATGCTGACGGCAAGCTTGCAGCTTGCGCCGAACAGCAGGCGCGCAGCCGACGATATTCGCGCGAGTTACGACGCCGCCGCGACGGCGTCGCCCGCGCGGAGGGAGCAGTGCCACCTGGGCCACCGGGAGAAGCGCCCGACGGCGTGGATTCAGCGCCACCGTCGCCCATGGCAGCTTCACTGGTCGCGGGGGCGACGCCCCGGAACCGACCAACGCGAGACAATTGAGCACCGCGCGAGACAATCCGCGCCACTTTGTCGCACGCGCGCCGACGGGAGGCGACCGCGCGATGGAGGCGACGTCCGAGACGGACGGGGGCAGCCCGACAAGCCGCGCCCCTTCGCGACACAGCGGCGGGGCAGCCGCGCCCAGGGCAGCCGGCCGACAACCGAGCCGTGGCCCGGCTGGGCCCGAGCGGTCTCGGGCGGCGGCGGATGGCGCGCAGACGGCGGTTGCGCGACACGGATTTACCCCCGCGCGAGACGACCCAGGTTCCGCGGACGCGCCGCAGAGCGGTGCCGGCAGCGCGCGCGCACTGGCGGGCTCCGCGTCAGCATCGGGCGCAAGTCCGAAGACGATGGGAGTAGCAGCCGATGAGTTTGCAAGGGGCCTCCGCGAGCCTCGAGCCCGCTTTCGGAGCGCGGCGCGGCTGGGGCGCGCGCCAGCAACCTCTTCGCCATCTGCTGGGGCCAGGGGGCACGGGTGTGCGAATCCCTGCGAAATGAGCTGCTCGGATCAAGGACACTTTATATTCTTCTCGGACAGCAGTGGCCGCGCCGGCCAAGCGCGGGCGGGGGCGCGCTTCCCCGACCGCCCCCCCCCTAGAGGCAACCCGCAGCCAACACGCCTGCATCCGAACGCGCGGGACTTGCGGCGCGGGGGGCGTCGACCTCCGACCGCCATGGATGGGCGCCGCCGTTCGCGCGGGCACCGAAAAGGAGTCCATGTCCAAAATATGAGGGCCGACGCTTTTGCACCTCACTGTAGATGCCAGAACGCACCGCGCACCGATGCGACCATAATGGGCCTTTCTGTGAATCTCGAGCACCGCCGCGGCCGGACTGGCCAGCCATTTGCACGACCGCCCCGGCGCGGGACGCTGTTGCGCGCGAGTGCGTCGGTGTCGTCCGCGGCCGCTGTGCCGTGCGAGCGCCCTGTCCAGCTGCGACGCTCCGCGTTGCCTCTGGGCCGCAACCGCCGCTGGAAGGCGCGCGGGCGGCGAATCCTGCGCGCGCAATCCACCGCGGGAGGCCGTCGCCAACGCGCGTGACCGACGCGCGCAGCGCCCGGCATGCAGCGCCAGGCCGTCGGGCGCGCATTGCGCGAGCACGCTCAGAACGCAACCAGCTTCCCCCCGGCGACGCGGGCATCGCCGCGCCCGAGGGCGAGCGCAGGGGCGCTCCATCCAACGACGGACCAAGGTGGACCGATCGCGGGCACGTCGGAGCAGCCCTCCACCACCAGGAACGACCTCGTCCAGAGAGACAAATAGCAGTGGCGCAATTCGACGGCGACGAGAACGCGCACAGCATTGGCATTCCGATTCGAATGCAGCCGCATGCTCCGCAAGCGCTGCTTCGAGGGCCACTTGCGCTACCCCTTCGAGAACACGGGCGCGAACGATCTAATGGCCGCAGCGCCTGCAATGCCGAGCCCCCAGCATCGCCGCTCGCGGC